GCTGTTACTGAGCTAATTGTATAGCCGGTACAATTGGTATCAACTATACAATTAGTCGATAAGACCACTATGCAGAGCCACAGTGGGGGTAGCTCCAGGAGCCAACTGCATTGCGGCTCTGCATTTTAAATGTAAGAGCAGAATGGCTCTACTATATTTAAAATGCAGAGGTGCAGCATCCGCGCGAGCCGGGACTGCTTGGTCCTGACCCCTGGCTCTATAGGCACTATATTTGCCCCTTTTCAGTCTTCTGGAATCTCTCCTTTCTCCCGTGATTTTCCAAAGATGTTAGCTAGAGGTGCAGATATCTCCTCTATCAGCTCCTTGAGTATTCTAGGATGCATTTCATCAGGCCCTGGTGACTTGTAGGCATCTAATTTTTCTAAGTGATTTTTAACTTGTTCTTTTTTTATTTTATCTTCTAAACCGCCCCCCTTCCCACTAGCATTCACTGTGTTAGGCATTCCTTCATCAGACTTCTCAGTGAAGACCAAAACAAAGAAGTCATTAAGTATCTCTGCCATTTCCAAGTTTCCTGTTACTGTTTCTCCCTCCTCACTGAGCAGTGGGCCTACCCTGTCCTTGGTCTTTTTCTTGCTTCTAATGTATTTATAAAAATACATTATTCCTGTAGCTCGTTTGAATTCATTTTGTACCTTTGCCTTTCTAATCTTGCCCCTGCATTCCTGTGATGTTTGCCTATATTCATCCTTTGTAATTTGTCCTCATTTCCATTTTTATAGGACTCCTTTTTTATTTTTAGATCATGCAAGATCTCATGGTTAAGCCAAGGTGGTTTTTTGCCATATTTTCTATCTTTCCGACACAGCGGAATAGCTTGCTTTTGGGCCATTAACAATGTCCCTTTGAAAAACTGCCGACTCTCTTCAGTTGTTTTTCCCCTCAGTTTTGATTCCCATGGGACCTTACCTATCAGCTCTCTGAGCTTTCCAAAATCCACCTTCCCGAAATCCATTGTCTATTTTGCTGTTCTCCCTTCTACCCTTCCTTAGAATTGTGAACTCTATGATTTCATGATCACTTTCACCCAAGCTGCCTTCCACTTTCAAATTCTCAACCAGTTTCTCCCTATTTGTTAAAATCAAATCTAGAACAGCTTCCCCCCTAGTAACTTTTTCAACCTTCTGAAATAAAAAGTTGCCACCAATGCAGTTCAGGAACTTATTGGATAGTCTGTGCCCCACTGTGTTAGTTTCCCAACATATATCTGGATAGTTGAAGTCCCCCATCACCACCAAATCTTTGGCTTTGGATGATTTTGTTAGTTGTTTAAAAAAAGCCTCATCCACCTCTTCCACCTGGGTAGGTGGCCTGTAGTAGGCTCCTAGCATGACATCATCCTTGTTTTTTACCCCTTTTAGCCTAACCCAGAGATTCTCAACACTTCCATCTCCTACGTCCATCTCCACCTCATTCCAAGTGTGTACATTTTTAATATATAAGGCAACACCTCCTCCCTTTTTTCGCTGTCTATTCTTCCTGAGCAAGCTGTACCCTTCCATCCCAACATTCCAATCATGTGTATTATCCCACCAAGTTTCTGTGATGCCAACAATGTCATAATTGTATTTATTTATTAGCACTTCCAGTTCTTCCTGCTTATACTTCTCACATTTGTATATAGGCATCTAAGATACTGATTTGATCTTGCCTCCCAGTTTTGCCATGACCCTCCATTCTCTCTGCTATTATAGCCCACGCCTCTCATTTCCGACCCATCTCCCAGGTCTCCATGTTCTTCACTTACCTGTGGGCTTTGCTCTCTGACCCCGTCGAACCTAGTTTAAAGCCCTCCTCACTAGGTTAGCCAGTCTGAGTCCAAATAGGGTCTCCCCCTCCTTGAAAGGTGAATGCCATCTCTGCCTAGCAGTCCTTCCTGGAATAGCATCCCATGGTCGAAGAAGCCAAAGCCCTCCTGGTGACACCATCTTCACAGCCAGGCATTCACCTCTAGGATGTACCTGTCTCTGCCCGGGCCCCTACCTTTGACAGGAAGGATCGAAGAGAATACCACCTGTGCTCCAGACTCCTTCACCCGTACTCCCAGAGCCCTGTAGTCACTCTTGATCCACTCAGTGTCACGCCTTACAGTATCATTTGTGCTCACATGGATGAGTAGCATGGGGTGGTAATCAGAAGGCCAGATAACCCTCAACAATGCCTCCATAACATCTTGGATACGGGCCCCCAGCAGACAGCATACCTTCCGAGATGAAATGTCAGGGCCACAGATGGGAGCCTCCGCTGATAGGCTTATGCTTATCAGATAAATTGACTAGTCACTTACATCCCTACTCTGGAGTGCTGGTCTCCCAGGGGTTGGGCCTCTTTTGGCCTACTGTTAAATCAGTAGCTATCTTTACTTGTACCAGGGCTTTATTCGTTGGGATCTGAGTCCCCCTGGACAAGTGGTACAAGACTCCTCTCTTGCCAAGGCTTTAGAAGATTGACATGGTATATCTGTTCTTGTTTTTGGCATTCAGGTTTCCGTAATTTATAATTTACTTCCCTCCATAGTTTTGATTACCTCATAGGTACCCTGCCACTGGGCCACTAGTTTACTCTCCGTCATGGGTACCATGACCATTACTTGATCCTCCAGCTGAAACTGATGAACCTTTGCCTGTGTGTTGTAGTATGCTTGCTGGGCCTCTTGGGCTTCCTCCATATGTTCGCTCATGATGGGGATAACATGGGCTATCTGGTCCTTCATTTGCAATATATGTTCCACTGTATTCCTCCCCTCGTACTATTCTTTCCAGATCTCTTTCATTAGGTCTAAGATGCCCTGAGGGTTGTGTCCATACAATAATTCAAAGGGAGAGAATCTGGTAGAAGCCTGAGGCACCTCATGCATGGTGAAAATGAGGTAGGGTATTAGGTTGTCCCACTCCTTCCCATCTTTGTCTACCACTTTCATGGCCTTGAGGGTCCTGTTGAATCTCTCAACCAGGCCATCAGTTTGTGGGTGGTAAACAGAGGTCCGTAAAGGTCTCAACATGAAGCAGGGAACACGGGTCCTTCCTTAACTTGGACGTAACTGGCGTCCCCTGATCAATGAGGATTTCTTTAGGTAGCCCTACCTGGGCAAAGATTGCCACCAGTTCTTTGGTAATAGTCTTAGATGCTGTATTGTAGGGGAATGGCTTTGGAGTCCCTGGTGGTGTATGTATTAGTGGTCTCAGACCATTTTCTCTAATGGTCCCACCAAGTCCATGGCTATCCATTCAAATAGAACGTCGATGATTGGCAGGGAAACTAATGGGGCTAGTAGATGGGAACAAGGACTGTGTAAATGACATTTTGGGCAGAAGGTGCAACACCTCTGGACATCTTCGTGTACCCCCAGCCAGAAAAAACAGTTTAGGATTCTTGCTTGGGTATTCTCCACCCCCAGTTGTCCTCCAAACAGATGACCATGGGTGAGGTTTAGAATTGCCCTCTGATATTTTTGGGGTACTAAGAGCTGGTGTGCCTCTTGCTCTTGTAGGTGTATGATCCTGTAGAGATCTTTTTTGATTATGAAGTATGGACCTGCCCCCCAGGTTTTACATGCAAAGGGTATCCCATCTTTCTCGGTCACTGCTTTCCTGGAATTCTCATACCTGGGGTCTGTCATGTATGCTTAGCAGCTCTTTAAAATTAAGCCATAGCAAAAGCATAAACAGCTATGTTTAAGAGGAAGTAGCCTAACCGCAAACTACATGGATTGCCTTTTTTGCTGTTAAGAGGAAATGTATTATGAAATATGATAATTTAGGATAAAATAGTAAGAGTAAGATCCTCTGCTAATTCGCTAGCCCTTAGTAACAAACCAAACTGAGTCAAAATCTGGTCTAAGAAAAAAAATGTTTTGCATCTGCTTGCAAGTCAAATATTCACAGAACTGAACAGACAATGAGACATCAGGCCATAAGTACCCTGCAGTAACGAGAGTGGGTACCTCATCATCTACAACTTATTCTGGAAACTGAACTCACGTGCTGCTCTCTGACGACAAGAGGCAGGAGGTCCTACTGAGGCAGCCATCGTAACAGCATTCATCATCCTCTACCTGGCCAGTAGGTAGAGAGATGCTGATACACCTGATCGTGAGTCAAAAAATCTTTCAAAAAGAGTAAAAAAATTTAACAAAAGTTTTCAAAAAATTTAACAAAAGAGTCTACAAATTCAAGAAAAACAAAATAATCTTGATAAGCTGGCCCTGGCAGCTTCAGGACTTGGGGAGAGAGATCTCTCCTTGCTATAGCTCTGAACCCCGGTGTGGGGCTTAATGGAAACTTAGAGGGGTAACAGCTTAGTGCCCAAGTTTCGTAACTAGAAGTATATATTTTATGCAATTGCTGGAAAATTCTGCATCGCTTAGAACTGTGTAGTTAGTTTGAATTGCACTTTCTCGCAAGACTCCTGTGACACATGTTCAGTGTCTCAGTGAACTAGATACACTGTTACAAAAGAAGTCTGAATAAACTATCACTGAAGTCAGTGGTAGTCTCTCTCTCCCTTTATTTTAGTTGAGAATTGACTTGGATCCATAGGATGCATCAACACTTCACCTGGAGCGCGAAATAAACTACACAATTTGAGCTACGTAATCTGCATAGATTATTTCAAGTTAATTTTGAAGTAGCTTATTTCAAAATTTGGCACTGTCTACACAGCACCTATTTCAAAATAAATTGCTATTCTGAAATGTTCCTTACTTCTCGTGGAATAAGGATTACAGGGACATTAGAATAGTGAGCCCATTATATTCTGAAACAAGGGGCATGCTCAAAAGATGCATAATAGTTAAAATAGTGCTGCAGTGTAAACATAGCCAAAGTGAATTCAGCTGGACTTTGCATAAAAGAGTATTGCTTGCTTGTGTGTGTGATTTCTAGAATAATTTTTCCTTTCTACTTGTGAGGGCAAACAAATAGAAAAATTTAGAGCAGGAAGTGAAAACAGTTATTTGCAAAATCTTTTTGGCAAATGTGTCCTCTTCATATCTAGGCTTTATTTTGTGTGTGCAAACAGTTCTTTCTTGACATCAGTATATAAAAATAGGAATAATTTTCTTTTCAGGATGATAGTCGATTTGTTTTATCCATCCAAGAGAATAGCTGGAGTCTGTTAAAAAAAAAGTGAAAAAAAAACAAATAAGGGACTAGACGTACATCATCAATTATTTGAAGCAATTCTTATTAAAATAGTACAGTATAAAAATGTTTCTGAACCTCAGGAGAAATAGTTGTGTCCCTTTTTATCTACTCATTACATTTCAAATTTCCTTCAGTTTTCAAACCCCTTATTATTAAAACGTTATTTACCCATGTTTACAGACACTGAACTGTATATGCAATCTGGGCCTGATTTACTGACCAGGTTGCAAGATCCAGCTGGCAGAGTCTTCTGTTTAAGCATTTACTAAATAAGCTGTTTCAGTGCAGCTTTTCCCTTTATATAATATATTCATAGCCATGCACTGAATAAGGAAGCCCTCCTTCATTTGGTGTGACTTCAGTGACACTACTCATGTTAAATGTTATGTGCTATATCTGTACTTAATTTGTGCATATGTTTAGGTGCTTTGGTAGGTCAGGGCTGTGACAGAGGGTACGTCTAGACTACATGCCTCTGTCGCCAGAGGCATATAGATTAGGTTACCAGACATAGGAAAATGAAGCGGCGATTTAAATAATCGCCTCTTCATTTAAATTTACATGACTGCCACGCTGAGCCGACAAACAGCTGATCAGCTGTTTGTCGGCTCAGCGTGGCAGTCATGTAAATTTAAATGAAGAGGCGATTATTTAAATCGCCGCTTCATTTTCCTATGTCTGGTAACCTAATCTATATGCCTCTGGCGACAGAGGCATGTAGTCTAGACGTACCCTCTGTCACAGCCCTGACCTACCAAAGCACCTAAACATATGCACAAATTAAGTACAGATATAGCACATAACATTTAACATGAGTAGTGTCACTGAAGTCACACCAAATGAAGGAGGGCTTCCTTATTCAGTGCATGGCTATGAATATATTATATAAAGGGAAAAGCTGCACTGAAACAGCTTATTTAGTAAATGCTTAAACAGTGCAACTTTGGTTCATTTAACATTTTGGTAAACAGTGCTTTCATTTTTTATCTTGGAATCCATTTGTCTGTACCTTCCTATATCTGGATGCTGATAATACCCATGTACACTGCACTTTACTAGTCAAAGCTTTTAAAACTTGATAGCCAGCCACATATTACCAAGACACATGCACTAGCATTTATTGTAATTTTTTATCCAGAAAAACATATAATATTGGGCACTATGTTTCCAAACAAGATTAGCTAATCATTCTTTCTGAAGCATGGAACCTTTAATTAATAAAAGCATATGTCTGAACAGTACTTTTCATCCTGCCAAAGCAAATTACAATCTGTAAACTTCCTTGTGCATATATTGATTAGATGCTGTTGTTAAGCTAAGTAGCTAAACAGTAAAACAGCTGGAATGAATAGCTTTGTACATTAAGCAAGGTCTCTTTCCAAATTTGGAACACATACCATTCTAATTTGAAAAATCATCCTTATAACAATAAACAATCAATGATTCATTTTTACCGATTGGTTACCTGAGGATTTTTTTAAAAAGATTTGTCCTTTTGATTTGAATTCCACTTTTCTAATAGCAATCTATTTAAAAGGAAAAATAAGGAATGTAAGATTATAGCATTTTTCCTAAAACAAAGCACAGAGTTATGCAGTTATTATGTCTCTCCAATTAGTCCTGCTCATTTCTTAATTTGTAATGAAAGTGGTGCCGTACCACAAACCATTTTTTTAAATTAACTTTATACAGGAAATCCAGAGGTGCCAGGGTTTTCCCTGGTAAGCACTTGCCCTATGTGACATAAGAATGACACTGTAGGGACCTCAGTATCATGTGGAGTTCAGTTGTACTTATTGAAATTAGTTTGTTGTGCACTTGGGTATAAGAACAGAATTTTTAAAAGGTATTTTTCAGAGCAATACAAGGTTGTGAAATTAGGTAAATTTGTTAGGTTTAATTTTTTAAATAATTTATGTATGAGTAATACCCTTCTCCATATGTGCCCTATCTTTCTGTGATAAGAGCTTGTAATGCTGGCAGGAAATCCAGAAGGGGAAGAGGTGGAGGGAGAAAGTGTCTAGGAATCATAGACATACTGATAGTAACTTAAACCATGAGGATAGAGTAAACTGTGTAGAACTAAAGCCCACAGAGAGAGTAGTAGTGAGGGGCCAGGACTGAACCCTGTGAGACTCTGACTGTGTGGAAAAGAGAAATTTGTGCAGCCACAAGAGATACTGAAGGAGAAGCTGCAAGCAGACAGAGCTTCTCTGCCAGAAGAAGGTGGAGGGTTACAGAAGTCACAAGAAAATTAGGCAATGGAACAGGTATGTGTACTGGCAGATAACAGTAGGACTGATGTTTCAGATTCTGAAATCAGGCTAAGATTGGACAGTGACAGGGAAGAGGAAGCTCACATCAGACAGAGTCATTGTCTCTTTGAAGACGATAGGAACTAAGTACTACCTTGATTTGGTAGGAAAGAGGGTAGAACCGCACAAGGAGAAGATCAACCTGATGTAATTTTTCACTTAGGAAAAGAGATAAGACACTCACAAGAGACAGAGATATTAGTCACAGCTCAGTATACTTCTAGAAGATGCTCAGATATCAATGATAGGCTGCGGTATAAGAACAAGAACTGAATAAAGGAGGCAATCTGCATGAATGTCCTTTTCTCAAAATTAAAAATAATGCCATGAGTTCAAGAGAGATAAAATGTTTTCTGTAAGAAGTAGAAAGGATAGCCAGATATTCTTTAAATATATAATATCCTCCTTGGATCCTTTTATGAAAGAAAAGCAGTATTCTTTGAAAGATCTTGAACAGATACACACCTAAAGGATTTTGCTTGCATTAAAAAGCTTCTGGCTTTTGCTACTTCTTGAGCAAGTTTCTTTAAATCATCTCCTTCAAAGACAGGAAAAACTGGATCCTAAAAAACAAAATTAAAACGTTGTTGCTATAATCTAGAACAATTGCTACAAATCTTAGAGCAGCAAACAAATGTAAATAATTGAACTCAAACTTCTGGACTTCACCACACTCACCAGCACCAGACAAGATCTTCTATTTATGAAAATACAGAGGCAAACAAATAGAATTGGCACCCCTTTCCGGAAAAGGGATGCTAATGTAGACTTCGGAATTGCAAATTCCGTGGGGGATTTAAATATTCCCCACGGGATTTGCATTTACATGGCTGCCGCTTTTTTCCGGATTGGGGAAAAGCCAGAGAAAAGCGCCAGTCTAGACGTTATTCTCCAGAAAATAAAGCCTTTTCCGGAGGATTTCTTATTCCTACTTTCAGAAAAGTTAGGGTCAAGTAGGAATAAGAAATCCTCCGGAAAAGGCTTTATTTTCTGGAGAATAACGTCTAGACTGGCGCTTTTCTCTGGCTTTTCCCCAATCCGGAAAAAAGCGGCAGCCATGTAAATGCAAATCCCGTGGGGAATATTTAAATCCCCCACGGAATTTGCAATTCCGAAGTCTACATTAGCATCCCTTTTCCGGAAAGGGGTGCCAATGTAGACACAGACAGAGTGTTTAACTCCAAATTCTACTTGAGATGTATCTCATCTTTATTTTCATTAAGCATTTCTATTGCAATAGCGCCTTGAGGTCTCAACCAGGTTGAAGCTCTAGTATGCTAAGCATCACGTGAGCATATAGTAAATGATAGTTCTTGCCCCAAATATGTTATAATTGAACCCCAAGACATGACATAGATGGATAAAAATGAATAGGAAGCATTGAGTAGAACAGTTGAACTTTGATAAAACTCAGGGGTGTTCAGATCCAGAGTTTTGATTTACTTTGATTTCTAAATTCTTCTGCATCTTACCACTCCCTCCTGGCTTCATTCACTGCTGAGTGTGGCTGGGCAATAGGTATAGTCGGACAATGTTTTTTGGATCCCCAATAATTCAGTGTGAGATCCACTGGGAGTCTTATATTTAATTTTTTAAAAGGTACTTTAGATATGGGGGAAAATATACACCGCATAAAGAAACACAATCCACATAATTATTGAACATACATCTTCATCCTCAAACTCTTCTGTCAACATTCTATGTGCTGCTAACTGCCCATCCACATCTCCAACACAGCGATGGTAGCGTCCTCCTGTCTGAGAAGCCAGCTTCTTCAGAAATTCATTAGCTCTTCTGTTGACAATGAAGCAGTAAATTACCTGTAATAATTGCTCTTCAGCATTAATAGAGCCTTTCTGTCGGGAGCTCTTGTATTTCTAAGCTTGCAGTTTGTGGCGTAAGATTACAAATAGCTAGATCACTTCTAGAGTCTTTCCCAACTATGGGGAAAATATACAAATAATACAATAATACTCAGTAATTATAATAATTTGGAGTAGAATAATACTTCAAAGGCAGGTTACTTTTAATCACCTGTTATGAAGACAGCACAGCATTAAACACTGGAACTTAGACTTCTAGGAAGAAGTGTGTAGATTTACATATTTACAAAGAAAAGTCACAGGTATGATAAGTAACTTAGTTTATTGCCACTGTAAGTCATTTCATAGACTTCTACATTCCTCAGGACAGATCCTCCACTAACGTAAACTGTCAAAACTCCCCTTGATGTCAATGGAGCTATGACAATTTGCATAAATTGAGGAGCTAGTGCTTAAAATCTACATCTGCACCAAAAAGGAAGACACCGAGATTCAATTTCAGTATAAGTTAGGGTCAGAAAAGCGATATTAAATGGGTCATTTGTGTACTTTATTAATAGCAAAAGTTGCACAGTAAGAGTTTTGGGAACAAAAGGAATGCAAGGCATGACTGATGTCGGCAGACCAGAAGCTATCTAATGCCATGGTCTCCGTGTCTCACCAGGACACTAATAGATACATAACTGGAATCTGTCTGCCTCACTAATCTACTATATATTTGAAAGAGTTTTTTTATCTATGAGTAAGTGAGTCTGTTCAAGAACTTCTAAATGGTAAGAGCTAGGACCACCAAATTTGTTATGTAGCTTTCTCTTATAACTTAAAGCAAGGTCAGGGTTTGGTTGTGTGTGGGAAAGAGGTGAAGAGGGGCTGAAGCTCCCCCCTCCCGATGCATATGGGGACGAATAAAACCATACAGAAAAGAGACAGAATCATGAGGCAGGTGAAAGGGGCTGGCTGGGGGTACCCCCTTGGGATTGCCCCAACCCCATTTTCCCACCCCTCAGATGCCCTTTATGGAGGATGGAGGGAGGAGGTTGCAGCTTCTCCCCACGAATTTGTACAGGAACAGTTCTGCCTGCTTCCCTTTGTCAGTGAGTGAGGGGAAAGTGCACAGTTTGCTGTATTCCTCACTTATTCTAGGAGCACAGGAGGCAGATGAACCTGGACCTGCTCCAACTGAGGGACATGTACCCTTTCCCCTAACTGTGCCTACTGGAGTTACAACAGACATAGAGAGGCGCTTCTCACCTGGTCCCAAGCTGCTACGATGAGAGAAGGATAGGATAATCCTCTCTCCCCGGGGCAGCCTGTATACTGTAACCCTCATCCCAAGCCCACCCCAAAGCAATAACATAAATGAAGAAAAACAGAAATGAATTGAGTTAAGGGCCCAAGCAATGCTGGGTAAATCTTTAGAGAGTGTGTATATATAAAATTATTATCCCTGAATTTTCCAAAGCCTGGTCTACACTAAAGGAGAAAGTCGACTTATGATACGCAACTCCAGCTATGTTAATTACATAGCTGGAGTCAAATTATCTGAAATTGCAGGCTGGTGCTGTCCACACAGCAGGAGGTTGATGGGAGCATGCCATCCCTTTGACTTCCCTTACTGCTTTGCTTATAGGAGCAGGACTACCGGGAGCACCCTCTCATTTTGAATTAGAGTGTCTTCACTAGACCCGCTAATTTGAACTGTGGAAGATCGATTGTGGCAGGATCGATCTTCTCTGTTGTGCAGACATGGCCCAGATATGTTCTAGGTACAGGAGGAGAGCACTTAGTTGGACATTTTACTATTTGCACCAATGATTAATTGTGCCTGCAAAATTGCACCTGCATTAATTAAGGTACATGTGCAAAATTCAAGCTGTGTAACTGGATGCTGGTTCTAAAGTTCAAGTCATTTATTTAGAAGGCAAGATAATCAAATGGTTAGAATGCTGAAGCAGTTTTTAGATACATGCCCAATTCAGAATGAACCAGGGAAAAGTAACCCTGTTGGTGGGTAGGCATGTTTGTGGGTTCATATTAGTATAATAGGTATTAGATTTCTAAAAGTTTAGTGTTTGGACTCTAATACATGCAGCAACTCAAGTATTCAATAATCTTGCTTGATAACATCTTTGTTCCATATTGTAATGTAATATACGAGAGACTCCATCTTGAACCTCTCTGACTGTGAATCATTACATAGGAAACAGACACTAATTATAGTCTAGTCTTCACTAAAAAATTAAGTGGGTTTAACTATGTTGCTCAGGAGTGTGAAAAATCCACACCCCTAAGTGACACTGTTAAACCACCCTAACCCCCAGAGTAGACATCATTAAATCAATGAAAAAATTCTTCTATCAACCTCTTGGGAAGCCTCCCTCCCATCAGTGTAGGCAGTGTCTACAGACTTATTGCTATTCCACTCATCCCATTAGTTGAGTTGGCAACTCAGCAAAGAGGGGAATAAAAACTCCAAACAAAAGGAACTAGGTATTTCTATTCTGCTTGGACTCTGGGGTTGCAAGATGTTTCTAGCATAAGCAAGAGATACTTAGCTGCTTGACCTAGGTTAGTCCTGAAGGACACATAGAGCTCGCTGATTATAGACGTCTTTATTTCTTTTTGAAACCTAAGACTAACTCATTTGTGAGTCTGCTTGCTTGCTTTCACCTTATAAGTAACTCTCCAATTTCTTTTTGCTACCTAATAAATCTTCATATAGTTTACTATAGAAATAATTACCAGTACTGTGGGTGTCACAATTAAAGCGCAATTGACCTGGTCTGAGGTAAAGAGGAATAACTTGAATATTATTATGTGTAGTGTAAAGGGGCAACTATCACAGAACTATGATCACATGAGTGGCAAGACAGACCGGAGCATGCAAAGAGTCTGTCTGTGACTTCATTTAAAACTCTTAAAGCAGAAGTGGGGAACCTTTTGTGGGTCAGGGACCGCAGACCCACAGAAAAATCGGTCGGGGGCCATGCACAACTGAGAAGCAAAGTGAGAAGTCCTTGACTGAGAAGGAGAAAGACACTTACCAGATTCCCATTGCACACCAGAGCCTCGGGGGGCCCAGGCTAGTAGATTTTGTGTGCTCCAGCCCTGTAGGTGAGTGGCAGGGGAGCTGGAGTGCCAGCATGGGCTCCCCAATGCTGAGCTTTGGGGGCTGGATCCAGACCCAGGCCTGAGGTTCCCCACCCTTGTCTTAAAATATCTGAGGAGTTTACAGTGGGCTGGTGAAATCTAAGTTTAGGTGAAACCAATTAGGAGTTTGTGCCCTGGTTTTTAACCATCTACCCTGAGGGTGATACTCATGCTCTTGGGTTACCGTTGGAAGTACTTCAATGACAATACCTTAAATTAGTAATTGTAATGAATTGCATACTCTTCTGCAAAATAATATATACCTGTCTGAACAATTAAAAGAAATTGTGTGGATTTTAATCATTTGTTTTTTTCTAATCTTTTCAACTTCTTTTAGAATCAGATTGCAGCTGGTGTCTGGCTTTCCATCTGTCAGAACATACAGTGCTTCTACATCTTGAAAAGAGAAAGCTTTCTGAAAAAGCAGAAAATGAATGTAAACATCAGGGTACCATAAACAGCATTTTCATGTCATTTTCATTTAATGTTTTCTAAATCCTGTTCACTTAGGTAACCACAAACAGATCTATCAAAATTCTTGGAATACAAATTACTGTATTGGACATGAAAAGAATCTTAGGGTACATCTAGACTGTGTTGCTCTTTTGCAATACTGGAAGCTGCCGGGGGGTGTTAAAGCTGTGACTTGGTGGGCAGGTTGGAGACAGGGATGGGCCTGCGGCCACATTGGGGGATAGCTGCTTTTGCGGCCACTCTGGCGTGCCATAGGTTGCTGAACCCTGACTCAGAGGCTTATGTCCTGCTTAAAGTGTCAAACAAGGAGCCCAAGATTGGAGAACTCAGCAAGGCCAAGGATCACACTAAATGGTAAGATCTGCATCCTATTTTATTTATTAATGAAGCTGCTGAAAGTAGGACTATTCTTGACTTTAAAAAGAATAACCAGCACGCTAACCAGTAAATAGAAGTGAATAAGTTAATTCTTGGCATGCTACTTCTGGAAGGTTGCTGACCCCTGCTTTAGAATCATAGGGTTAGCCCCTGTTTCTGCTGCTAGTGCACATCTGCACATGCTCCAGTGCATACAACAAAATTTATTCTGCATATGAATGGAAAAAAAATTAGAGGAAACATTGTTCACTGTTGCTGTGTAGAGTGGAACAATTACCTCCTATGTCTTAGAATCATAGAATCATAGAATAATAGGACTGGAAGGGACCTCGAGAGGTCATCGAGTCCAGCCCCCCGCCCTCAAGGCAGGATCAAGCTCCGTCTACACCATCCCTGACAGATGTCTATCTAACCTGTTCTTAAATATCTCCAGAGAGGGAGATTCCACCACCTCCCTTGGCAATTTATTCCAATATTTGACCACCCTGACAGTTAGGAATTTTTTCCTAATGTCCAATCTAAACCTCCCCTGCTGCACTTTAAGCCCATTACTCCTTGTCCTGTCCTCAGAAACCAAGAGGAACAAATTTTCTCCTTCCTCCTTGTGACACCCTTTTAGATATTTGAAAACCGCTATCATGTCCCCCCTTAATCTTCTTTTTTCCAAACTAAACAAGCCCAGTTCATGAAGCCTGGCTTCATAGGTCATGTTCTCTAGACCTTTAATCATTCTTGTCGCTCTTCTCTGTACCCTTTCCAATTTCTCCACATCTTTCTTGAAATGTGGTGCCCAGAACTGGACACAGTACTCCAGCTGAGGCCTAACTAGTGCAGAATAGAGCGGCAGAATGACTTCACGAGTTTTGCTTACCACACACCTGTTGATACAACCTAGAATCATATTTGCTTTTTTTTTGCAACAGCATCACACTGTTGACTCATATTCACCTTGTGGTCCACTATGACCCCTAGATCCCTTTCTGCCATGCTCCTTCCTAGACAGTCGCTTCCCATCTTGTATGTATGGAACTGATTGTTCCTTCCTAAGTGGAGCACTTTGCATTTCTCTTTATTAAACCTCATCCTGTTTACCTCTGACCATTTCTCTAACTTGCTAAGGTCATTTTGAATTATGTCCCTATCGTATAGGGTTTTGGATAACTCAGGAAACTACAGACCAGTCAGTTTCACTTCTGTGCCAGGGAAGATAATGGAGCAAATAATTAAGGAATTCATCTGCAAACAAGTGTAAGATAATAAGGTAACAGCTAATAGCCAGCATGGATTTGTAAAGGACAAATCATGTCAAACCAATCTAATCGCTTTCTTTGATAGGACAACATGTCCTGTGAATAAGGTTCTTGTGACGGTTCCAAACTTCTCAGAACTTTGGGATGAGGACTGGATCCAAATATTGTGAATTGATTCCCAGATCTGCTCTGTATATTTTATATTTTTTAAAAGTTTCATGCAAAAATGGCACTTAACTGACATTACTGCTGGAAAATATTTTGGCTATGCGGAACAAAGTTTTTATGATCATAACACACATTACTTTGCCACAATATGATATACAGTCAACTAACCTGCAAAGCCTTAAGGGTACATGTATTACCATAAGCTTGAAATTTTGACACCCATTGTACAGCATCATGACATGTTTCATCAGTAGCTTCTACAAGACACTCCTGCCACGTATCTATATCTTCTGCAAATTTCAGTAGGTTAAAACTGACAAAAAACATGTTATTCTGTTAGAAACGACAATGCCAATATCAGCTTCCTAATAGATAATTACATTTTAGCGTCAAATGTCTGTACCTATGATGTGTTCTGTTTTCTATATTTAGGTTAAGTTTGGGAGGAATAATATTCTTGTGGTTAAGGCTCTGGACTGGGTTTGAGGAGACCCTGGGTTCAGGTCCTATTTCCATCACAGACTCAAGATATGACCTTGGGTAAATTACTTGTTTTCATACTTTAGTTCCCCCTGCCTATAAAATGTATATATGCGGGTATGTTACAACTTCATCTCTCATTTGCTGTCTTTTCTATTTAGACTGTATGCATGTTAGGGCAGGTATAATCTCTTACAATGTTTGCAAAGTGCCCAGCGGCTTCTAGCTGCTACTGTACTACAAATAAATAATAAGAAACTGGAAGTTCATTCAACCTGAGTAGTTCTTACACATTACTGCTACCGTCAGTCCCCAATGCCTGCCATCCTGCTTGCCCTATAGGTTTCGCAGCTGATGATAGCTATCATTTGGGCAGCTCTTTATTGAGTTGGACTTGCTGTGCACATGCTTTCCACAGAGTCTTGGTGGGTGCTCCATTCTCTCTCTTCTGAGTCCTGTGATTTTCCTCCCATAAGAGAATAGTTCAGAGTACTTATTCAAACAGTGCCCACTGAAAGATTGCAAACTAACTAGACGTAGGGTAAGTCTAGACTACATGCCTCTGTCGCCAGAGGCATGTAGATTAGGCTACCAGACATAGAAAAATGAAGCGGCAATTTAAATAATCGCCGCTTCATTTAAATTTACATGGCTGCCGCGCTGAGCCGACAAACAGCTGATCAGCTGTTTGTCGGCTCAGCGCGGCAGCCATGTAAATTTAAATGAAGCGGCGATTATTTAAATCGCCGCTTCATTTTCCTATGTCTGGTAGCCTAATCTACATGCCTCTGGCGACAGAGGCATGTAATCTAGACGTACCCTCTGTCTATTCTGAGGTGAAGGCCCTTCCCTCATGTTAGCATGGCTTTGAAAAGTAATGCCTATGCATGTTCTGTATACTCAGACCTGATTAACCTCTATTATGTGAATGGGTGATTTTTTAAAAAAAAGTTTGGCTAAATCAAGATTTTTGATCAAATTATATTTGCAAACAAAAGATCCTGAGGGGCAAAACTATTTTGCATAAGAGGAGAAATGGTCTGAGGTAAAAAGATGAAATTCAATAAGGACCAATGCAAAGTACTCCACTTAGGAAGGAACAATCAGTTTCACACATACAAAGTGGGAAATGACTGTCTAAGAAGGAGTACTGCAGAAAGAGATCAAAGGTCACAGCGGACAACAATCTAAAAATGAGTCAACAGTGTGTCACTGTTGCAAAAAAAGCAAAACATAATTCTGGGATGCATTAAAAGGAGTGTTGTAATGAAGATATGAGAAGTCATTCTTCTGCTCTCTTCTGTGCTGATTAGGCCTCAACGGAGTATTGTGTTGAGTTCTGAGCACCAAATTTCAAGAAAGATGTGAAAAAACTGGGGAAGGTTCAGAGAAGAGCAACAAAAATTATTAAATGCCTAGAAAACATGACCTGTGAGGGAAGACTGAAAGAACTGGGTTTGTTTAGTTTGGAAAAGAGAAGACTGAGGGGACATGATTATAGCTTTCAAGTATTTAAGAGGGTGTTGCAAGGAGGAGGGAGACAAATTATTCTCCTCAATTCTTGATGATAGGATAAGTATCAATGGGTTTAAATTGCAGCATGGGAGGTTTAAGTTACACATTAGAAAAAAAGCTTCCTGTCAGGATAGGTAAATAGTAGAATAAATTGCCTAGGGAGGTTGTGGAGTGTCCAACACTGGAGATATTTAAGAGCAAGTTACACAAATATCTGTCAGGGATGGTCTAGATGGTGCTTGGTTCTGCTGTGAGTGCAGGGGTCTGGACTTAATGACCTCTTAAGGTCCCTTCCAGTTCTCTGTTTCTGTTTCTATGTTATTTCAAATAAACGAGATTCAAATAATCAAGGCTGTCCTTTTAAAAGATATAAGATTTAAGAGGTGCTTACTAGTTTAAAAAATAAACTATGTTCTGTACTAGTTCCTAATAACTGTTATTGCCCCTTTTAATACCATTTAATTAGCTATTTAGCAACGTACACCTTTTAGTCATCATCTTTTCACACATACCTAGCATTATTCTTTCTTAGCTGTTCCCAGATGAGGGATGTAAGCTCTTTTGTGACCTGTTGCAAATAAGGATCCATGGAACCAGATGTATCAATCAAGATGCATACTTTGGTCTCCAAAATGGTGCCAAATAATCGCCGGCTTCCTAGTACAGAACATGAGATTGAGAGTACAGTAACAGTTCATAGACTCATTTTATAAACATATCTTTCAACTGAGCTTATCAGTACAACTTTCCATTGTTTGTAGCATGGCTGAAATTGTGTTGGGCCTAGGATTTTAGAAGGAGAAGGTGGATGAGGTGTATCTTGTATTGAGTGAACTCCTGTTTGTGAAAGTGACAAGCTTTTGAGCTACACAGAGCTCTTATTCAGGTCTGGGGAAAGCATTTATGATATGTCTACACTGCAATTAATAACCTGGAGTTTTCACATGCCAACTGACTCTGGTTTGTGCAGCTTAGAGTATAGGGGCTATTTAATTGCTGTGTAGACAGGCTGATGGCTGGGCTATGGGATGCTGCAAGGTGAGAGAGTCCTAGAGCTCAGGCTGCTGCCTGAGAGAGTAAAAACATTTATACCTCAATTAAATAGCCTTTAGCCTGAGCCCACAAACCTAAGCCAGTGGGCACAGGCCAGACAAAGATTTCTAATTGCAGTGTAACCATCTCTCAGAGTATCACAGTTAAATACAAGGTGGAACAAATTGTTTTGCATACAGAGGTAACATTGCTTCTAAGGGATCACTCGGGCGGAGGATATAATAGGCCAGGAGACTCAGCCTCCCCTGGACTCCTAGCTATGGGCTTTGTAGCATACCATAGCCCAGCCATCAGTCTGTCTACACAGCAATTAAATAGCCCCTATACTCTGTGCAGGGTCTGGGGTGGCTGAAGAGGTGATATATGCTACCACCTTCTCAGTTGCCCTGGAACATGGCATGGCAAAAGCTTATTTTTTTGGACAGCTTGGATTGGGGAGGGGAGGCACAGTGCGGTGCAGCTGGCCTGTGACTCTGGGCGGAGAGCTCAGGGCTTCAGCCAACTGGAAGCGCCTACAGGTAAGAGGTTGGGGGGTTCTTGAGGATCCAATTATGATGGTGAAGGGGGCTTGAGGCTTCCTCTGTTGTGGGGGGCTTGGTGCTCCTCCTGGTTGGAGGATGAGGGGTCGTGCAGCTCTGGTTGACTCGGGGCTCCTCTGGCGCAGAGGGAGAGGCTTAGGGCTCTGGCTGTGGGGGTGATGTCCTGGTACTCCTCTGGCTGGAGGCGGAGAAGGCTGGTGCCAGGGTTAGCCTCCCTGAAAGGGGGCTCCACCCACTGCCTAAGGGGCTATATGAGGTGAAGTGGCCCATTGTGACTGGACAAAGAAGAGGAGTTAGTGGGTTACACATTATTATAATACTCCCATATATCTAGTGTCTTTAAGACACTTTTTTACCATCTAGCAAAATTATGAATTTAAGCTCCTAGGCTCATCTTTGAAGATGTTGTACAGGTCAAAGGGCAGTTGTACACTACATACCTTTAATCAGTATAACTTTGTTCACCCCACTGAGCAATGTAGTTATACTGATCTAATCAGCAGAAAACTTCTCCGTCTGACATAGTTACCTCCTCTTTATGAGGTAGATGAACTGTGCTGATGATAGAAGCTCCCCCTTAGGTGTAGCAGGGTCTTCACTAAAATGCTACTGCGGTGTAGCTGTGCTGCTATATAGCTGTACATGAAACCCAGAGTTAATCAGTATGGACACTGAACTATTCTTTCACCCTTAGAATGGGCCCTCTCAGTCAGGATTGAGGCACATTAGCAGTGGTGGATTTGGGGAAGCTTGCACGGCTGCAGATAGTAATCTACATGCTCTATTTCCAGGAATATCATCCTGGTATGCTTCACAAACATTAAAACATGTGTGAGCAAGTCTCTATGTGCTCCATGACAAGCAGGATCTAAATTCAAGCAGGAGGTGGTAGACTGGAAATTCCACTGTGACTGTTTAATTTTTTGAGGTGTTTAAACAATAAACATCAATTGCACAAGCAATACAGTAGACCGTGTGTGATTTCTGACAGTAAATTGAATATATTTGACACTATTCCTACATCTTCAATTTTCAGCATTGACTTTGGGGGAGTGGGAGTAGTTGATAATTGCATTTAAAGTCAGATGGGAAAAATTAACCTTTTGGAAGCTAGATAAGGGAAATAAAGACTTCTGGCACTTGAGGAGGCATGACAAGCTATGTGGACTTGTGGAATAAGCACATTAAATAGATGTTTTTGCTAAAATAATCAACGGTGAAATATTTAGTGTTGTTATTTAAGCTCTTATAGCAGCACACCAACTATGCTGTAATTAAGGTTTAGAACTGCTTTTGATTTAAAGACAGACTCTTCTAAATGCCACATACCGTATTTTCCGGCGTATAAGACGACTTTTTATACTAAAAAACATCCCCCAAAAATTGGGGGTCGTCTTATACGCCGGGTATAAACATACAGGCAGTCCCCGACTTGCAGGTACGAACGGGGCTTTTCTTGCCCCGGAGGACACGGACTGCAGAACCTCGCGGTCCCGCCGCCCGTGTACTCCGGGGCGAGAAAAGCTGCTCCGCGTCTCCCTGGTCTGCAGACCAGGAAGACGCGGAGCAAAGCCACGGAGGGGCTCCGGCAGCGGGGCAGCTCAGGCGCACCTGGGATGCCCCGCCGCCGGCTTCCCCCAAGGCTTTGCAAAGCCGCATACCGGCGTATAAGACGACCCCCGATTTTGGGGAGATGTTTTTTAACATCAAAAGTTGTCTTATACGCCGGAAAATACGGTATGTGGCATTTAGAAGAGTCTGTCTTTAAATCAAAAGCAGTTCTAAACCTTAATTACAGCATAGTTGGTGTGCTGCTATAAGAGCTTAAATAACAACACTAAATATTTCACCGTTGATTATTTTAGCAAAAACATCTATTTAATGTGCTTATTCCACAAGTCCACATAGCTTGTCATGCCTCCTCAAGTGCCAGAAGTCTTTATTTCCCTTATCTAGCTTCCAAAAGGTTAATTTTTCCCATCTGACCAAAGCCTCAGAGGCGCGGGACCCCTCCGCCTCCCCGGCTTTGCTCCTGGTGTCCCTGGGCTGCTGGGGGGGGGGAGGGGGCAGCTAGTGCGCCCCCCCCTCCCAGCAGACCAGGCTTTTGTTGTGGACCCTGGGGCAGAGCAGCTGGGGCGCTGCCAGTTGGCCTCTTAATGGGGGGTAGTCTTATACGGCGAGTATAGGCGAAAACCTATGTTTTAACTAGAAAATTAGGGGGTCGTCTTATACGCCCAGTCGCCTTATACGCCGGAAAATACGGTAGTTACATGGATTGCTTCAAAATCTTTGGGTTTTAGGTTAATACTCTATTTAGATTAACAGGGGCAGTTCCTGCCACTCAAAACTATTGTTTCAAGCTCTTTGCAGACTCTGGAAGAGAATATTGCATGCCAAGTTTGCACTTAGGGTATCTGCACTCTGCAAATAAAAATCTGCAGCTGGCCCATGCCAGCTGACTCAAGATCTGGGTGCTCAAGCTTGTAAGGCTGTTTCATTGCAATGTAGACTTCTGGGTTTGGGCTGGAGCCTGGACTCTATGGTCTTGCAAGTTGAGAGGGTCCCAGAGCCAGAGGTGAAAGTAACTTACATTTCTTATAGGTACGGTCGAATCATACACACAGAAAGGGAGAAGAGGCTCAGAGCAGAAGGCTGGGGGTTGGGGTTTGAGATATAATGCCTGTAAGAAATGTAAGTGTGGGATGGAGCAGAAGGGGCTGGGGGGGGGGGGCCTGTGAGAAGGGGGTGCTGGAGTCAGGGCAGAGGGATAGCAATGTGGGAGGTGCAATAATCAGGATTGGGAGTATGGGGGCTCAGGGCAGCGGGTTGGGGTGTATGTGGGTGCAGGAGGGCAGGGGGTTATGGGTCAGAGGGCACCAGAAGCCCCCTCCAGATTCATATTAGGACGACGCTTGCTCTTCCCCTTCCTGTCACTTTCAGGGAGTAAGAGGAATGCACACAGCTCCTCTGCTCCCTTCCCGGTCTAGCCAGCCAGGAACAGGAATCCATGCATGTGTCAACCCTCCCTAAATGGTGCCCTAGGCATTGAGGAGGACTCGCAGCTGGGGCAGTCCTGGACTAGGGGGGCACGCCCCCAGTCAGCCCCTTTCATCTGGGTGGCTGCCTACTGCTTAATGTGGCAACTTGAAGGAGAGCCCTGGGAGTCTGGCTGGGAGCACACCGTGTCTCCTGCTGCTGCAAAGTGCCCAGCTGGCTGGTGCACATTTTTGTTAGAGTGGCGCACTGAGGTGCACCTCCTTACTTCCACCTCTGCTCAGAGCACAAGTTCCATCCTGAGCCCAGAAGCCTACACTGCTATGAAACAGCCCTGAACCCTGAGCTCTACGAGTCCGAGTCAGAGGGCACAGGCCAACTGTGGGTTTTTCACTGCAGTGTACACTAGGCTTGCTGATGGCGGGGGCAAAGCCAGCAGTTGCTCCGAGGCCCAGCGATTCAAAGAGACACGGGGCTCCTGGCTGCCACTGCTGCTATATAGAGCTCTGTGTGGCTCAGAGGGCTGGGGATGCCAGAGAGGCATGCCACACTCTCATGGGTTCCCAATCTGGGGGATGTGAAGAAATTCCAGGGGCAGGGGGGTGGCGGGGCGCGAGGCAACCCAGCCCTCCCCCCGTCAACTTCTCCCTCCTAAGTTTTGCTGCTATTTTTGTTTTTCGGCCCGTCATTTCTTTTTTTTATTTTTTTGCTCAATACGTTTTTGCTGCTGGGGGGGTGGGGAGGGTTTATCAAAAATGGGGCATGATGCCAAAAAGTTTGGGAACCACTGTTCTAGATGACAATGAGGGCTGGCTGCTCTGGTCCCACCCCTTTTGGGAGCTTGGAGCCAGCCCCTTGCCCACCTTGCCTAAAGGCCTGTGGAGGCTACTGGCTCCCCTGCTGTATGCAGTATGCTCCATTCTTAGTTCATGTTTCAAGGTTTTCTTTACCGACATGAGGACTCTACTATAAACTTTAAAAACGAATGTTTAGATTCTGGAGTACAAGTCTGCATCAAGAAGAGGACAAAGGAGTGGATACTTCAGCAAACTGTGCAGCTACATATTCTTGGAATAATAGATACTCTACTTCCTTATACAGATCTAATGTTTACAATTCTTTCCAAATTTTAGGCCAATAGAAGGAGCAGGCAAGAGGAAATATTCTAATCATGCTTGGATTACACTTGCACAACCATCTATTATAACCTTATCCCTATCCCAGAGGTAAAGCTTACCTGAAAGAAGCCACTGTATTCTTCCTATATAGCAATGTAACACCCTCTCCATTTGTTCAACATAGTCTTCTAGTTCCTTAGGCTGAAACTGTAGGTGTTTCACAATACCCTAGAACAATTTATACCATTTGTAGAAGAATGGCTTATTTCAGCAGATATGTATCATGATGACATGTTAGTCTGTATGGCTGCTCAGGGACATGAATATTACCATCTCTAACATCCACGATAATGGCTGAAGGCAATGATGTAGGAGTGCTCCTATACTAGATTTTTGGTGGTGGTTGTAGGTTTAACCAAATTAAGAAAACCTGGCTTTGGTAAAGTAAGAATATTATAGAATTTGACTGGATCCATTTATTTCTTGCATTTTTGTGGTATCACTTTTGTTAGGCGACAGACAATTTTTCCTTACTGAATTATCTCTACTTTGACTAATTACATGGAAATGTTTATAGCCTGAACCAAATCCATCAGTTTCTACTCACACACAACTCTTTCTGATTTTAGGAAGAAATATAGTTGAGTAAGAACAGATAGATTTGGCTCTTTCTTTCCTTTTCTTTCAGAATGCAGGGGCAGAAGAGATCTTAATTTAGAAATAGTCTAGAAATATGAAGGGCATGCATATATTTGTACAGTTGTACTGTATATTACCCACAGTAATTTTAAATAATATAGAAAACCATGTTATGATATTCACAAGGGTTCATAATATCTCCATCAACTTACATTGATTTCTACGCTGGGGAAGATGTCACAATATTTTGCTGACACTTTCTTGCGCAAAGACGCCACCATTTTCTTCTGGTGAACACAGTTGGGACCAAACATCATTCTGGGCAACTCTAACTTCAACTTTTTTATACTGTACTTGTTCAACCACTTTTAACAGAGAAAATTGCATACTTTGTTAATATTTGATGTCATAACTAATTAAGTTAAGACAAATACCATTTTGTATGTGGTTTAAGTCACAGATATTAATTTTCAAAGTTAATTACTGTTAAGTGGCATAATAAAAATAGTAACATAAATAAATAACTGAATACCTCTTTGCTTGAACATATTTCCTCTTCCTTTGGCAGTATAGCAAAAGGAACAGGCCTCTTCACACTCTTTTTTGTTGGATACTTTCTGTAAACTGCACCTAGCAAGAGCAGAAAAAAGTGAAATTAGACAGTCTGGGTGAATCATGGCCACACTGAATTCAATCTGCTATTTTCTGTACTTGGCATTATATATATGTCTAAGATTATTTAAAACACTTTGTATATAAAAATATCATTTCTCTTTTAAACAATGCATTTGTTGTGGAGCAATTCAAACATTTCCACCTGGGCTTATACTGCAATTATATTACTATTGATTTATAGTATCTTTGACCAGATAATTTCAAATAACTTTGAAAAGGTGGGTAAATGTCATTCCATTAAGTGTTCATATACTGAATTTAGGTGGAAAGAAGTGATTTGTCCAAAATCATGCAGGAAATCAATAAGTGTATACTGGTTGTATGGATCACCATTTGACAAACCACTTTCCACACATTTCCCCAACAAACTTCATTATTTATCAGTGAAAAGCTTGCTGGTGTTTAGAGAATTAATATCTAAATAGTTTTGTATGTAAAAAAGACCACATTTTTAGCTGTCATAAGCTGAGAGCACTTACCCACATTTTTCCCCTTGTCAATATAAAATACTGAGAGAGAAATCTGTGGCTGTTTTCTTGCTTTATGTTTCTTCTTCCCAGAGGCCTGAGGCCATTCTTTTATTGTCTGAGCTACAACATAAAAGTAAATATTGTATTGTTTCAGATAGGACAATCATGTTGGCCTTGGCAATTTTACTCAACTGTACTACTCATTTCATAATTTTACATTACCACAGATTGAAATACCTAAAATATTTTATATGTAGATAAAAATGGTCCAATATTATAAATTCAGTCATGCTCTCCATATGAAAGTGGGGATCAACAAGACACTAATAAACAGGTAAAATGAACAGATTTATGCATCTGACATTGAGAGATTAATACAGGGCTGGGCAAGATGCAGCCCAGGGGTTGGATCCAGCCCACCTATCACTTTGATCCAGCCTGCGGACTGTATCTGGCCACTTTCTGAATTTCCGGGCTCAGGTAGCAAGATCCTATTTAAATGGCTCACAGCTCCTGGTTGTGGTGCCACCCTGTCAGTGAGTCTTTTAAATAGCTGCAGCAACCCTGAGCAGTTGTCAGGCAATGTGGTAGCGGCAGAGCCCAGAGCCCTTTGCTGAGTTTTTTAATTCAAAGTCTCCAGGCACAGATAAATTAGAGTAGGCTAGTCCCCAGCCCCGCCCCTTCTGCCCAGCCTATATCTTCTGTGACCACATAGCAAAATTCAGTAAGTAGCCTCCCTTCAAAAATTATTGCCCACCCTGGATTAATACTGCTGTCATTGGGGAAGGGCAAGTAACAATACATATTACTACTCACTGGCTGAGCCTTCAAGGAAATGATGAATATGAATTTACAACCAAATCAATTCTGATTTTCTAAACGGAAATAGCTTTACTGTGAAAACAAGACTCATGTTTCCTAACAGTCAAAGCTGTCTGGTCAATATATGTATAATCAAGGTTCTAGAAAAGTGTTTACAAAGATAAATACACTTGTTCTAATATAACTATTCCAATGGCTTTAGACATAAGATTATGAACTTTATCTATACATACGTGGTGGGATTTCTGCTTTGGCACTAGTTGGACGCCATATCAGAGCTCTTAAGGCAACATTTTTCTCCCTCTCGTGACTGTCTTTAATATTCTAAAAGCACAAATAACGTGTGAATTTTCTACAAATTTCCTTTTGATTGTATCTTGTTACAGAATTATCATACTCAATACATTAGAGATGATTTTCTATCTTCTTTCTTTCCCTCTTTTACTCTGGTGCCCATGACAAACATGCAGATTAGTTTTAGCACAGAGTAACTTTCAAGTGCATCTCACCCCAAAACTGTGCCTTATTTTCCTGCCGAACTCCTATGGGCTTCACAGCAGGGTGAGATGTTTGCTATAACACCAAATGTACTGGGAACATTCTGGAGCAAATGACATAACAAACCTGATCATCTCTAGCTAACATACTCAAATTAACAGATGAAAGAAATATTAAAGGAATTCTATGGAGAATTCCATACAAGATTTTCACATCTCTAAGGGTACATCTACACTGCAGGCTAAAGTCGAGTTAAGCTACGCAACTTCAGCTGCGTTAATTGTGTAGCTGAAGTCAAAGTACCTTAACTTGGCTTTAGGTGCTTTCTACACAGCAGGAAGTCGTAGGAAGAACACTCTTCCTTTGACTTCCCTTACTCCTTGTCAAATGAGGTTTACAGAAGTCGGAGTAAGAAGCCTGTTACTTTGAAATTCTTTTGAAATAACAGGCTTGCTGTGTAGATGTGCACTCGGTTATTTTGAAATAAGCGTGCAGTGTAGACATAGCCTAAGTGTACAACAAAATACTTCATACTCATATATTGCATTATGCATTTGTTCTGTGTATTTGTTGTGATATTTGGCAAAAATGGTCTTGGAAAATTTATAATGGAACAATTGTTGAGATTATCTATTGAGATTATTTCAAATAAACAGAAATGCATTTTAGAGAAAGTTCTCCCCAGTTCACACATTAATTCAGTAGTCTGAATGAGACACCTATTTATAAGGTCAGCATTGACCACGTGTATGAATTAGATATGCAAACCCATTTTGAAACTTGCCCAGATCCATATACATTTAAAAATAATAAGTAAAAAATTTAATAATAAAAGGAACTTATGGAGGCAGCATGTTTTATAGGAATAGGCAAAGGGACAGAAGGCAAGAGATCCTGAATTTTAATTGTGGCTCTGATACTGACTTATTATGTGACCTTGGGAAAGTCACCTCACTGCTTCAATCTCATTTGCAAAATGAAGATAAAATATATTGCAGTGTTTCTCATAAGTCACCACACAAGGAACTGCAAAACTGGATACTCAGAAATGACTAAAACAAAACAGAAGCAACAGAGATTTGTATTCACTACCTTTGCATATACGTACTTTGGTGCAGTTTCCTAGGGCAGGAGATTGCATTACAAGTGTGATCTCTAGAACCACCCTGCAGGAATCACTATACTTATTAGAGGATTACTTACTGGCAATGGCTATGTAGCACTCAATGTTAAGTGCTGTATAATTGCTTAGTATTATTATCATATTTTACCAAAAAGATATTCCCTGAAATTTCCATCTTAAGCACTTTTCTCTTTCAAGGGGCAGCATCTGACCTCTTGTATGTTGTCACTAAAACAGATTTCATCTTTAAAATATGAGTAATAAATGAAACCAAACCATTCTAGCCAGAGTGAGAGCTGTAGGTTTAGGAGGCAGCAATTTCTGTGCTTTAACTGGCTCTTTTTTCAAAAGCATCTTTAAGTCTTCTTCTGGGATAAACTGATTAACCAACTGAGTTCCTGAACGCTGCTTTAAGGATTCCACCAGCAAGGCACACTGTAATGAAAATTCAGATTGTTGCTTTACTTAACAGTTCTTTTGCAGTCAATTTAAGTAAACATTTTAAAAGGCCACCTTAATATTCAATATTTGTAACAGAGCAACATCTACCTGTCCCAGTCAGGACTGGAGCCCTAGTATGCTATGCACTGCACAAATAAAAAAAAATCCTTGGCATGAAGAGTATACAATCTGATTTAAAACAAGCTGAAACAAGTGGGTGTAAACAAACAGGAAGGAGTAGGAGAGAGGGGATAAAGCCAACAATAAATTGTTTTACAGAGATTAGCTATGTGAACACTAGATGCTTAATTTTTTTTAAAAAGATACAAGAAATAAATAAGACATGTGTTGTAAAATCCTGCTAAATATCTATCCAGTTTAATTTGCCTGAATGATAAAGATCTCAGCATACAATATACCTTCCTCAGGATTTTCCATATATTACAAATTCAGCTTTCAAACCAGATATAACCTAACTGCCTGTACTCTTAAACATTTTTAATCTAGCAACCTTGGGAAACGATGCATGCTGTCTTAAAGAATTTTTCAGACCATGCCTAAGCGCTAGGTGGAGTTGGGGAGGGAAAGAAGATATGTTAGGAGGATGGATACTTACCTGGAACCCCACTCTCAGAGGCACACATGGCTTCACACCCACTGCCTCTACCGCTCAATGTTCTTGCACATTTTTTTCTGTGTTATGTGCACTAAGGATTGTGCAGATATGCACCAGCACAAGAAACACATGCTGCCAGCTGTGGGTGCTATGAGCCTTCTGCTAATCAGCTTTGTGGTATTTGATCTCTCCTGGGTGGCCACCTGAGCACTCAGCTTAAACCGAACACTGCCGCTGCTCCCAGGCATGGACCCATGCTGCTATGGGAGCGGCAGGGGAAAAGCCTCCAGAGAAGCACTTCGCTGCACTGCTGTTTCCTCAGCTCAGGGGGGAGGGAGAAGCAGTAGCATGGAGACCTGCTTCTTCCACCCCTGCCTAGATCTGAACCATGGTGTTCCCAGATAAGGGACACCCGGATTAAGGAGGTTCAGGTGTATTACATCTGTGACAGTTGGAGCAACTGCATCTGTATTCCCTCTTCTACTCTAGGCTTTTTGGCTCCTCAGCCACAACATCTCTCCGGGGAGATCCAGGTGGTGCCTTTTTGGAGTGTTACAAGAGGAGTGAATTTACCTAATCAACCCCTCTGTTCCTAGTTCCTGGAGAGCTTTGGCCCAGTGTTACCTCTAATTTTTTTCCGTCCAGGAGCAGAATACATTTTGTTATGTGCACCAAGGCATGTGCAGATATGTTCCACCAGTAGAAACACATGCTGCTAGCTTGGGTGCTCTGCAAATCAGCTGGGTGGCACCTGAATCTCTCCTGGGTGGCTGCCCAAGTGCTCAACTTACAGGGAACGTTGGCTGTGGCCACCTTCTACTAGGGAATTATATACAATTGCAGATTCACAATGATATATAGACTTAATACAGTACAGTAATAGCTCACAAAGATATTGCAAGAAATTGCCTCACAACATTACCTAGTTTATTAGAAATATATCTAAAAGTTGAAACTGTAAAATAAATGGGTAAATCATTATCTCCTCTTTGGTTCAATATGCTTACTCAACAGATATGAAGGAAACAAATGGTAAACAAAACACTCGTTATGAAGTGAGGAAAAATGGTAGCAAAGCATATCAGAAATGTTTTAGATAATATGTTAATTACAGGAATAAAATGGATAGTATGTTCTGTCTGATTAGTTTTATTGCATCTCTGCTTAGTTGAGGGGGCAGAATTTCCAGGGAGATGACGTGGGAGTAGATTTTTAAACCTCTACCTCAAGGTGTCTTGTTTTAACATTAGTCAGAACCACCATTTTCAAGAGAAATGAGCATGTCATATGCCTTACATTATGTTGAATGTAATCTGAGAACAAATCAAATGTCCATTTTAGTTGTATATAAATTATTCCATATTTTATAGCTTATTTTATAAGTAAAACTAGTGGCAATTCAAAATCAACCCAGACATAGTCAATTTTTATTACTTGTATTACAGCAATACCTGACAAGGAAGAACTAGTTCCTTCCACAAAGAATTTACAATCTACATGGACAAGACAGATAAATGTGGGCATGGAAACTGGCATAGAGAGATCAAATGATCTGCCAACACATCATACAACAGGACAAAGGCAAAGAGGGAAATGAAATCCAGGTCTTCTGATTCACAATTTCAATGCTTTATTCACAAAACTAGACTACACAGCAGAGTTCTGACTATTTTGTGTACCTTCACCAATAAAAAAGATTCCACAGGGCAAATTATGCCCGCGTTATATTTGTTATTAACATTTGGGTTGTTCAGAAATAATTGAGGGCAAAATCTGGAATCTTTATTACTGGTGATATGCAAACTCTCATAGCCTGGCTGGGTTTACAGAACTGGCAAATAAAAAGAACATCCTTTTACTTATAAAAGTCATCTTGTTTGATATGGAATCATTGAAACACAAACATGGAACACCACAAGGCTATTTTTATAGTTGCTTTCCAGAGCAGAACTCTATTTTTACTTTTAACATTATTTTGCATTATTCTAAAAAATGCATTATCTTATACAATGTTTTGATTTTGTAGCCAACAGCCTGTACACCATCAGCTGAACAAATGCTGCAGAGCTATTTTCTAAAGAAAATTTAAAATGGTATTTTTAAAGCATACCTTTTGGGAATAATTGACTGCTTTTTCCATTTCAGACACAATGATACTGATATCATCACTTTCATAAATTCCTGGTAATTAAACATATGCTTATCAATAGGTAATTATTTTAAAGAAAGCATATTTCAATTTGCAGAGCACACAAAAATAATCAATAGAAAAAAAACAAAAAGGGCTAGATATAATTTAGCCTGTGCATCATTAATAATTAAAACCTTCAAAATGTTTGTTTGTAGAAATGCCTATCTGGAGCTGACTTATGATTACATTAGTTTCTAATTAGATTCTAAAACATTAAAGTGCAGATATCCTGTAGCATTACTCTTTTATATTGCAGTAGCTAGACCTAAAAGCCTTAATCGAAGAGCCGTCTATTTCATTACCAGTATACACTGTCTTAAGGGAAAGCTATTTGTTACAAGAAAATAATAATACTGATTGAACCTCTTTAGTTCAGAACTCTCTGGTCCAGAAACATCCAACATTCAGAATGATTTTAGGTAGCCGGATGTGCACTTTTCAAGGGCATGGTCAAGTTTCCCACGGTCCCATAAAGTTTGTTTACAGCCACCAGTCGTAGCTCTCGGTGTTTTGTACTATCATTTAGCTCTTATTTACACCTAAATGTCCTCTAACAGCCCACTAAGCAGTTGGTGATGCTGCTAGACAATACTGACCTTCCATGGTCGGGAAAATTCTCTCATACAGAATCGGTCAGGTTCCAATGGTGCTGGACTAGACAGGTTCAACTTGTAGTGCATGTAATAGTGGATTGCTGACTTGCCAAATAGAAAAGGAATGTAGTAAGATGGAACATACCTGTTTCTCCAAACCAATGAAACCTTCCATTGACAGCGTGCGCTAGTTCTCTAAATGTGTTGGCAGTCTCATGTGGACTGGCATAGCGGGATGGAATAATGCCACTGGAGTCAAAACCATGTACACTGAACAGACAGACATGCAGCTGCAAATCACAGCCTCCACAGACATCTGCCACATACGCACTAACAGCATGCTATAAGACAAAAAGAAAGGCTACCACCTCAAACTTTAAAAGATTTTCACTATTTTATTGACTTACAAGGCCAGATCTCCAGCTGGTGTAAATCAAGATCATTCCATTGAAGTCACTTCATCATTTCATACCAACTGAGGATCTGACCCTCAGAACTTAACTTTATGTAAATATACTCTTGACTAGAGTTAGCTACAGAACTGGTGAGAGACTTCTTATAATTTAAATCCTTTTCTATCTGCAGAAGAATATGTTGCCTGACTGAATGGGGAGTGAATTGTTGTCTTCTCCTGCAAATGTGGTGTGGATGGGTTAATCAGAAGTTACCCGATAGAGGCAGGAGTGGACAAGGCCTATAACTAGAAAGGGAATCTACAGTGCCAATGACTGTGGAGGAGTGGCTCACACAAAAACATCCAAAATCTTTTAAGATTAACCAAGGAATATTTCTTGCCTTGAGTTATATAAGAATGAATAATTTCAGAAAGTGAAGTCACAGATACTGGTATGGTCAATGGGGTTATGTAAATGAAAGACAGGTGTTCTATAACCAAAATACAGGAGGCAGTTGAAAAAAGTTTGAGATTATTTCTGAATAAGCAATAAATATTTAAAAAGAACATGCAAATTTTGTATTGATACCCACCATCTCCTGGTCAGGAACTCCAGTGATAAGTAGATAAAGTCCTTGAGATACAAGTTTGTCTTTATCTTTGAAGTCTATTTCCACTGCTCTTCTTAGAGCACTCATGAAATTTCTACTGCCTTTGCTCTGAAGGCTCAACACCCATCTACAAGGAGAGTTTTACAAAATATCAGAATGCACAGACTATGCATTAGAAATATTTTGCTATAGGAAGCAATAAAAAGCACTAAGCCCACTGTCTCAACTAAAATCTCATGGTGATGCACTGGAAAACAAAAACATCTCTTAAATGATCCTGCAGGCAGGAGGCTGTTCCAGCACAGCTGGACCCACCAGTCCATGGACAGGGGGAGCTCCAACCTTGCTGGGCCCAATGCACTGCGGGCTATTCTGACCAGGCCAGCCCAGGCCAGGTTGAGCCTACTGTGGATGGGGGCTTCTCAGGCCAGGTCTGCCAAACTGCAGTGCAGATGGGGGCTGTCATAATCAGGAGTGCTGGCTAGCACTTGGTGACTAAGGGGTTAACTCTATACCTAGCCAGGTATCAGGTGGTCAGCCAATAACAATGCAGGCAGGAATTTCAAACTGGAAAAGAGGAGTTTTTTTCCCTCTGTTTTTTGTCTGAGAGGAGAGCGGTTTCTTCCAAGACTGAGGGAGATGGGAAACATTTTTCTCTCCAAGAAAGGACTCCTTACAATGTGCAAGTAGGGAAAAGTTTAGATAGTCTATCAGGATTTGTTGTTTTCTTGTTTGGGGATTTGGAAGCAATGTCTGAGCTGTTAATTGGGGGGGAGGGTTGTAACTAAGTTTTAGCTTTACTATGCTTGCAACTGTAGTTTGGTTCTGATAATAAATGATTGTTCCTTTTTCTAATTGGTTGATTTTTGCGTCCTGGAAGGTCTGTCTGTGTGTATCTGCATGCCTGACTGAAGGGTCCAACACCATAGACTGCAGCTTGTTTTTCTCTTTTCAAGCTCTTTTGGGGAAAAGAGCTTGGGGTATCCTTGGGGTTGGTTTCAAGTGTCCACTCCTGTTTGTGGATTCAAAAGCACTTGATGGTGGCAGCGGATTCCCCAAACTCTGCGTATTAGGATTTTGGGGGGAAGTTTTCGTACCAGAGCTTGTACAGGCAAAGTTTTGGAGTGCTCTTGTGGGCCCTCACTTCTGCAATCGTTATGCCAGAGTGGGGAACAGCCTTGGCAGGGGCATTGCTTTGATTGGGCCCACCATGCTGCACTGTGGTGGGCCTAGCCAGGCTGGAGCACCCCCAGCCCATGGGACGATGCAGTGTGCCTGAGCAGATCGCCGGTAAATCCGGTTGTATCCCTTCTGCACAGGATTAATGAGGATATAATTTGGCACCAGAGTGCTGCTTGTATATAAGGAAAGAAAGAAACCAGACTGACTTTCAGCTATCAGGTTGAATCTGAAGGTTTGGCAGTTATTTTAAAAACACCTTTATACTTATAAATGAAGCACATAAGATATGGAAATAATTTCAACGCACTAAATATTAAATGTTATTATGCTGTTTTCATAAGTCATTTTTCAGAGCAGAACTACACATACTATAGTGCATCACAGCATAAAATAATAAACTTTATAAATCTGTAACATTGTTCACTGTTCTGGTTAAACCTGGTTCTATGCTACATTCAAGCACTTTCACTAAATTCATAAATATAAGCAAGTTATAGTTTGATTATACCTCCAGGCACTTTGTAAATTTTCTGGATTTGAAGGAACCATTTCTGGTTTCCAAGACTTGATGTCACTTCCAAACCTTTGGAGAAAACAAAAGAGTGATTATTTTTTCAAATTTTAGTTCATAAGGCTACAGAGCAAACTCCTTAAATAAAATCTAGCTTTACTGATTTTTGTCATTGAACATCAGTTTCTGTTTCTAATCATAGATCATTTCACACCTTCCTGTGTATTAAGGAATGTTAACATTGTTGAATGCTAGGAAAAATACTATTCAGAGTTCACACACTATTATGTTTATGCCTAATGTCAATTGCAAGAAGGATTCTGCAGTGGAGCGGCTCAAAAAATCCAATTATTTTTTTAAACATGATGTTGTTGATACTTGAATTTTGCAACTGTTTTCAATACTATACAAGTTGAACCTCTCTAGTCTGGCACCCTCAGGACCTGATCAGTGCTGAACCAGAGAATTTGCTGAACCAGGGGAGGTCAATATTATCTAGCAGTATTACCAATACTTCCACTGCTTACTGGGCTCTTAGGAAACATTTAGGGGTAAATTAGAGCTAAACAACAGCAAGAACACTGAGATCCAGGACTGATGGCTATAAACAAACTTTACGGGACTGCGAGAAACTTGGCCACACCCATAAGAAGTGGACATCCGGCTAACTAAAATCATGCTGGACCATGTATGTTGCCAGAGAAGGTCAAACTAGACCATGTATGTTGCTGGACCAGAGAGGTTCAACCTATAATATGCACAGGATTTGTCATCTAGGACAGTGGTTCTCAAACTGCAGTCCGTGGATCACTAGTAGTCTGTGGCTGCCTTCCAGGTGGTCTGCAGCTTGAGCT